CGGGAGGGACCGGGGTGCTGCTGAACGTGGACCGCGTGGCGGAGCAGCTGGAGGAGATGGGTTACCACGGGATCCAGGTCCGCGGCCTGGCAGACTCGGGGTGGTTCCTGGACAACAAACAGTACCGCAGGACCGACTGCATTGACACCATCACGTGTGCCCCCACCGAAGCCATCAGGAGAGGAATCAGGTACGGTCGTATGCTCTGCAGTGTGCTGTTGTAAGAGGCCAAATGTGGAGATCTTCTCCTTCTCTGTCTCCCGTAATTTGGATACTTAAGAGAGTATTTATCACGTGTATCAGTGGGCTTTCAATTATTTTACTGGACAAGACAGTAATTTAAGATCTAGACAGGCAAAAGAACGTGTGCAGTTGTGGGTGCTCAGAAACGTGCTGAGGGACAACGATGTTCACGTAGCCAGGGGAGCTGAACTGTGCCAGGGCACAGGATGTGGCCAAGCTGCTGCTGGGGAGCGCTGCGACGTTCGCTGTTACTGCTTTGTCCCTCAGGTACTGGAACGGCATCGTCCCCGAACGCTGTAAGCTGCAGTTTAAAGAGGGAGAGGAGTGGAATTGCTTTTTTGGGTATAAGATTTACCCCACTCTTCGATGTAAGTATCAGAGGAGAGGCACCCACTGCTTCCTCTGCGCCCACGGATCGCTCAGCAATTCCTCCCGCGCACTCTTGTCTCCCAGGCCCGGTCTTCGTGGTGCAGTGGCTGTTCGACGAGGCACAGCTGACGGTGGACAACGTGCACCTGACGGGGCAGCCCGTGCAGGAGGGGCAGTGGCTCTACATCCAGAACCTGGGCCGGGAGCTGAGGAACACCCTGAAGGACGTCACGTAAGTGTTGCACTGCGGAAACCCGGCACATTTATTGCTAAGAGACGTCCTTGGGCAGCGTCCTGGCAGCTTCTCTGCAGAAACGAGCGTCGGAAATTGATAAATGTTAGCCAGCGTCAAGAATCTTGGCTTTGCCGTAAGTGCAGAGTGATTTCCAGCATCACAATTATCATTTGCTGTCAGATAGGAGCGAGGTTTTCCTTTCCCTCCTCCCAAGTGCTGTCTGAGGCTCCTTGCCATTGCACAGCCATTGACCTCTGGGTGTTTTGGGAAGCCCTGGCCATCAAACATCCCGAGTCGCTCTGACAACGGAGGAGCTGTTGCTGGGCCTCGCTCGCGCAGTGCAGGAGCGGGGACTTGAGAGTCTCTTGCTGCGAGCGCGCGGTGAGGCAGGAGGGATCCCCATTTCTGCTGGACACCCCCCGCTGGCCAGGGTTTACCCCACGATGGTCATTGCTGGTTCTAGAAGCCTTGCCAGGGCAGCAGTTCCCCCCCGTACCTCGTGCACAAGGGTCCCTGGAGCTGCTTTGTCCTCCCAGGGCCTAACCCACGTTTCCTTCCCTCCCTCAGCGCCAGCTTCGCCCCGGCCTGTTTGTCCCACGAGATCATCACGCGCAAGTGAGTGCCTGCGCGGGCGCTGCGGGAGGTCCCCGGGGTGCGGTGGGGAACCCCCGCGTCCCG